CAGGAATGTACAGAATTAGCCGGGCAAATGAATTAGCCCTGGGCAGTTACCATGAAATTAGATTATTCTTTGTAATACTACCAGATTAAATACTTTAAGACTATCCATGATGAAGTGATCAGTGTTATTAAGAAGAGAAGTGCTTGGGTTCCAGTTCACCTTTTTCCTGAGGTATGGACTCTTCATTTGGGGCTGGGCATATCCTTGGCCATGTATGAGCTCCTGGGAAGTAAAGAACAGCCATACTGGCAAAGACTGCTCTAGAACCCCTCCCTGCTCATGGAAAAGCTCCCTTATATTGGGACTATTTCCTGGCATCCATTTCGAGTTCTTCTGAGGCCTTAAGGTAAAGGACAGTCATCCCCCAAAGTATTTTCATTTTGAATTCAATCTCTGTATTCAGTCTCTGTCTTGTTTATGTAACTCAGAATAATTAGGTGTTAGATTATAATTGTTAGGCAGCAAGTCCTATTCACATTTATCTCATGCACTGATAATTGCAGTGAGTTCCAATCACCAGCAATGTCAAAAGTACTTTATGGATCTTCAGCATTATTCGGTCAGTCCTCTAAATCCCACCCTCTGGGATCATTATATTCAAGAGTCTCTTGTCTTAGCATTTATATTTTTATTCAGCCACGCTGCTCACAAGTATCTAATCACACTGCATCCTGTCTGAAGTCATCTTACCCCCAAAGCAAACAGCTCAGTACTTGCACAGTGCTTACTACTGCAATCAAACAAATGAATTAAACATTAAAGCAGCAGCACACATGTTACAAAATAGATGGTGATACATCCTTAGGCAAAACATATTCCTTGGTGTGATTAGTCTGGATATAGTATGACTGTCAATGCTCACACCTGTGAGGAAAAGCAAACAGTGCCCTACTTCTTTACCTGATTCTTTTTGGCATTTAGACAATTATGGCCAATATCTAGCAGGCCAAAGGCCAACATTTCCAAAGCATTGTTCTAAGAGAGACATAGACAAATCCAGACAACAAACATGAGGATTTGCTGCCCCTTGCATCTAATAAAATCTTCTCCTCTAAGAACATGATGGACGGCTCCTTTCCAACCATCGCAACTAGCCCAGGAGATCTTGTGTCCCTTACTGAATAGCAGTGGTCTTGCATAGCTGTTCACTTAGAAAAGATGTCACCTTCAGTTTGTCATGCTGATAATACTGACTATCACTTTGTTGTAACTCAAAGCACAGTTATCTATGTGGATGTTTCATGTGGTTGCCACAGACCAAAAAAAAAAAAAAAAAAAAAGAATAAGTATGTAAAGACTTAATTGTCAGTCAGTACTTTTTAGTATTCTGTGGTCTAAGTAAATGAAACAATGATTTCCAGCACCCTATACATCAAAAAGCTAAATAATTGTTCTGCTTTCTGACTATTCACATCAGAACTGAATGTTCTGTGGGCTATTCAGAAGACTTGGAGGGGGAAGGGGAGTAAGTTTGAATGCTTTACCCCGCTGTGCCCCTACAGGACTTTCTGGCACAGAAGACTGCACTCTCCATTCCACAGGATTGTATTGGGCCATTATGTTGTAAATCTACCAATCAATGAAGCTATTAGGTTCTTTTATTACAAGGTAGATTATTGGTCAGGATATACAATTATTTAGGTCAGCTCTATTCCCTTGTTCTGTCAATTAAAATCAATGATTTTTGAATTCACACTGTGAGCATCTTGGACAAGAACCATCTCACTCTATTTGCGTGGTGTTTAACAGACTATGGTTGCCATCATTAAGGAGCCTCTGGGAAGGCTTGGAAACACATTGCAGGGAGTCTTTGCTCCTGTTTAAGAGAAAATTTTCTTCAACTATTCCCTCAGCTACCTCTACAACCTGGCTCCTCAGTGGGAAGGACAACCTAAATGGTAAAGCAGTTTCCCAGATAGGGTGTGAGAAGCAATATCACACAATGAATTCTTGACCTTGTAGTCAGGGTGCTCTACAATAGTTCCCACTTTTACTTATCTTGGTCTTGGTTGCCCCTCCAGTCTTTCCATAACTTCTTGCAGTTACACGTTATTATCCATTATCTTACCTCTATGCATTGCATGCCAAATGTGGCCTAGTGGAAAGAGAACTGGATTTGGACTTCGAAAATTTGGATTCCATGCTTGATTTTTGCGACTGGACTGCAGAGTGACCTGGAACAGGTCTCTTCTGTCTTCTTTGCTTCCATTTTCTCTTCTGTAAAATTGGGACAGCAATCCTGAACTCCTCTTCAAAGTGCTTTGAGATGAACAGATAAAAAGAGCTCTGAAGGTGCTATTTTTGATAGGCAACACTAATCCTGGATATGACTCCAAGTTTTAACTATATCAGTTTTATTACTATAACAATATTTCCTATTTTGAAATCATAACATACTTGAGAAAAAATGAGTAATTTATTTCCCTGGGTTCAAAGAAAAAGGACTAGGTCATATAAAAACATGTCTGGGAGTCAAAAACATTTCACCCCAGGTATCATCACCAAAGGATTCATTCTCAGGCAGTGAGTGGGTAAAGTGAACACTCTCTGTTCCCATAATAATAATCTCAATAGCACCTAATTCCTGTCATTGTACAAAACCCGCCTCTTTTAAATTGGTTTAAAGCTGACAATTAATACTGTATCAGTTATACGCTTAACACAGTAATAGTTGAAATAAGTTTAAGTGGTAGGGATGCTATTCAGTCCTTTCTGTGTTATGTTAAAGCAACAATAACTAGCAAATTGTGGGTTACCATATATATAACAGAAAGCAAATGAATACAGGCAGTCCTTGGACTTACGACACTATTGGTTCCTGAAAACTGTGCCTTAAGTCAAAACGTTGTAACTCAGAACCAATTTTCTCAAAGGAAACAATGTTATAAATGGGGGACTGGTTCCTGAACCAAGGCCTGATACCCTATTTTCACCAAAAATACCCCAGAATTTTGTACTCAATCAATTATAGATGAGTAATATAGCTACATTAATGTATTTATATTGTAAATAGCAATCATATTGATTTGGAAGGACTTCTTTGAGGTGATTTTGCTGGACTTTTTGAAGGGTTCTTGGCTGGGGTCTTCTCAGGAGTCTTGGCTGCAAGTTTTTCTGGAGTCTTGTCTGCTTTCTTAAAGAAAGTGTCCAAGCAAGTTTGGACAGATATTCTCCAGGGAGATGAGTGACACAGCAAACTTGTTCACTGGTGTGGTATCACATCGGATCAAGCATTGTAAGTCAAAACTGATGCCATAAAATTGAAACAGGGTGTCAATTTATAATGGTTGTAAGTGTGAAACATAACTCAAAATGTTGCAAGTTGAGGACCGCCTGTATTTGCTAAACAGTTTATTAAAGAGACATCACACATTGTGAGGTGTAATAAATAATTAGCTAAAAATGTACTTTACACATGTCAAAAGCTAAAAAACTGGAGTCATCTGTTGAGTCACAAAAATATGAGACCAGTTGAACTTAGTGCATGATTGAGTTGTAGCTATTTGTTGTGACATCTTGAATCTAACATAGTATTAATAGTGAATATTTCTATGGGAAATAGTGAAGACATCTTTCAATGCATTGCAACAGCTAGGGGTCAGAGTGTTATTTGTGAATGTTCCTGTATCTTGTTGCTTTAAGATACTGATAAGGATGAACTTCTGCATTTTAACAGAACTTTAAGAAGATAACCTGAATTTTAGTCATTATAGGCAAACACAACTACTGTAATGTACCATTCATATCCAAAGCAATTGATGTGCCCAGATCTCAGGTCAGATGTAGATTTATTTGTTGTACTATTAAACTATCTTCCATCTCTATAGCAACTTTCATCTTAAATGATCCCCAGCAACACGATGAACATATGGGAATCTTTGCATCCACCACTGAGCTACGCCAACATGAGATGTGTTTGACAGAACATAACAACACTATGCAAATGGTGTAACTACACAGCACAGTGAAGTGCCATGCAGAGATACCTGAAGTAATTGGGGCACTGGTGCTATATGCATTTACATAATACAGTATAGCTGCATTCATATGGTGCTTTATGTAGCTTAATAAACCTTGCTTCTCATAGCAGCGATAATTAGCAGAGTATTCTGCCTTGGTTAATGTGGCTGTACTGTGTTCTGCATGTAAGTCATCCTAGGTCTCTTTGCATGTCACTGCGTTATGCCTTATAGATATATCAAATAGTACAGGGTAAGAAGGAAAGAAATAAATACCATCTGCAGATTAGAAGAAATCAGGAATAGATATACTTTAACTAAAATTTCCATTACACTTTTGGATATATATTTTGTAGCTTTAAACATCTATAACTGGCCTGGAGTCCTCCTCCCAACTTTTGTGGTTTTCTGTTTATAAAAATGTTTTCTTCTGCCCAGCATTACTGTGAGGAAGGTCAACCTATATAAATGGGCCCATCTGACAATAGAGAGGAAATGGTGCAACTACATATTATGCTGTCACCTGCATAAACCATACAGCCTGAAAACTAGAGCATTTTTTCTGTTGGACATTTTAGATATTACTTTTAACAACTGAAGGTAACGAATTTCCTCCTTTATAAGTGGCTTATTGCTAACTTTTAAAAAGCTGAACATATTCAAGGGCTTTTTGATAGGACCTTTTTAAGGCTTTGTTTCTTAGGTATTAAAGAGGAGCTTGTTGTTCTTTGGAATGGCACAGTGTATAGAATCGGTCCTTCCTTACTGTCCTAAATGTATAATTACCTTGTAATCACCACGCAGGTCACTATTACTTTGAAGGGAAAATGTTATTTGATGAGAAACATCTCCAATTTTTGTCCAAATTGTACATTTCACAGTGATTAACTGATGCTCATAGATGTTCTCCTGGTCAAACAATACCAAAGAAACCAACCATTTATTAAGTCAGCCCCCACATCCTTGAAAACTGATATGTGCACATGGCCTATTTCACATATTAATATATCATATTGAGCTATTCCAGAAGATTCACAAAGCCATCTGTGTATTTCTAGAAAGTTTCACAGTTGAACATAATTATGAAAAAGGTTTCCCCTGCTGCACTCTTTATCCTTCAGGGCTGCACAGCAGCAGTAATATGTCCAGGAAAGTTATCACATTGTTGAAAGCTCAGAACTCAAGATCCTTCATAGTGTCACTGCACTCACTGATCTCCGATGGCTTCCACGGTTAAGTCTTTCAGCACAACCATCAGTCAACTGGCCAGTGAACTGCCCAGGAGATGCATTCCTATCAGTCAAAAATTGATACTGCCAAGGTGAGGCCGTCACTGAGGAACTGGCTGAAGTGGTTTCTTCCTCTGTCTGCCTCCTGATGGAATATTGGCTTTCTCTATTCAGTATCCACTCCCTTCTGGGGTTTGTATCTTGGGGGGATAGTCCGAGGTTATCATGGGATATAGCAGATGCTGTTGGATGTAGGAATGGTGACAGGCATACATTGCTGGTGCTTAGATTAACCTCATCAACGCAGACTGAAGATGTGCCTAAGGTAGCTTGATTTTTTGTCCTCCACAAATGGATTTCCAGATCTCGTTGCTCTTTGGGAAGCTTATCCAGTTGCTGAGCTTTTAGAATTGGACATGCTACGAAGGTTCCTTGCAGAGCTAAAACAAAATACCTGATAAAAGATCAAGAAAAGTATCACATTAAAAATGGGTTTCACTAGTAAAATATAACAGTATGTCAAAAGTCTCTCTCTGCAGGTTTTTCATAGTTCTGCAGATGTCTGGTAACGTCCTTACTTACTTTCAGTGAGGTACTTGGATGTATGCAATCGTATTGTACAGTCATCTAAACTTATGATGACCATGACAATAGGAGTTGTGTACTTGCTGTATAGAGCATGGAAGCAGTAGCGGCCTTAGGGAAGGGCAAACCAGGTGACCTCCCAGAGACCCACACTTTAGGGGGCCCCAAAATTTTGAACCTAAAATGAACCTAGAATATAGCTCAATGTTAAAAAACTCTTTCATTGCATTATTAATATTGGATTAAGATACTTTCATTGCAGTTTCATGGATAGGGCAAAGTGTAATTGAAATTGAAAATGTCTGACTTGCTTATAGGTCATCAAAATTAAGCCTCTAAGGGGCTAAAATGACTCTTGCCCAGGGCCCCAACAACCCTAAGGTCACCACTGATAGAAGGACAAGCAGAGACTTGGTTGGCTTTACGCACAGAGAGCCAATAGTTGGAAAGTGAAGTGATACATTCCTTTAAAAGGAGGCATAGAGATACAGAGGAAGGTGAAACTGCAGAAGTCAGCATCTTCTTTTTGCTTCTAACACTTCCTCTATGAACCTCCTCTCTCTCTCCTGTTCCTGGCAGTACTTGAAAGCTGAGAAAGCTACATGAAAGGTGTTGCTCACAGGTGTTTAGATTTTCATTTGAATATTAAATGGGAAAGCATGTAACTGCTTTTTTTGCCATGTCTATGGACTATGTCTACCAGAACTACCACTCAGAGCCATACAAATTCCTGGCACAAAAGCATGGGCATGCAGGTGAGTCCATCTCAGAACAACAGATGGGATTCAGAACCTAAGCCTATAGATAAAGGGAGTGCAAGAATCTGTAGCTACAAGGAGGACTTGAGGCTCTTTTATATTTACCTTACCTTCTAGAGATAGCCAGAAACCTTAAAGCTATGAGCTCCAAGTGGAATCCAGGGAAGATAAGGAACAAACCGCATACTAAGATGAGCCAATTGAAAATTTAAGTATGAGCTGTATTTCACAGCTTTGCTGTGAAGGAGTGCTTTGCTGCTGTAACTGAGTTCTGTATAGGACTTGGAGATGGATTATGTGTGAACAGAAGTTTCTGAAGAAAATAATCTGGGATGCCTGCATGAAGGAACAGCTGTGCTCCTACCTTGATGTTATCCAGGCACAAATCTTTAAGCTCAGTATCCTGCCGAGGCAGCAAGTATCTTAACATTGCTGAATTCCCAGGGTGGAAATATGAATTCTTAACCAAGTGTCTGATGTAGAAAGCTCAGGGCTAAAAAAAAGTCATTGTGAATATGGGCTGATAATAATAGAAAAAAATCACTCAGGAAAAAAACATTGTCAAAAGATGCTGTTCCTTGGAGATGTGGAACATTCACTCAGCCATGAGCCACATCATCCTTACCTGAAGCTTGTATTACTCAGAATAAATCTGAATACACATAGAGACAGAGTAGTTGAGAAAAATGTTAAATTATCTAATTGAAAAAGGGCTTAAAATACGGTTTAGGTCCAGATTTTAGGATTTGTTTGAAAAGTGGTTTAATAAAATCAAATATGAATGAAAATGTCTTTATGACTATTACAGTTCCAGTGTATTCCTACCAACTGAAAGAGAGAAGCAAATTAGTTTGTTTCACCCTACTTCTAGTCTGTCTGGCTATCCAAGCTCAAAGTAATTAAAAAGGGAACAAGATTCATCACTTGGGAAAAACAGATTTGTTTTAAAAATTATTTGACTTTTAATAATCTGAGGTATTAGTAGTTAGATATGCAAGGAAACAAAAGTAATGTTTTTACCTGTCTACTAAACTATAAAAACCAATGTTATCCTCAAACATTATTTTCCTCTGTATTTGTTTTCTGGCAGATAGCAAGCCATGATTTTGGGCATAGGAAGATCGTTTATATAAAAAAAAAATCTTAATTTAACCGACACATTTTATGATGCAAACTGCAATATTTAATGATATGTGATAATGGAGTAAAGTAATGGAAGTAATACAAGATTATTGTATTCAAGATTTGGGAACAATTGGGAACAATTCAAAAGCTATCCTAAGAATGTACTTATTAGCCACCATTAGCATATTGAATATTAATACCCATAATAATGAGCATCTTTATAGCTGTTTGTCACTGGTAAATCTCAAAACACTTCAAGAGGATTCTTTTTTTCATTTTATTGATGGGAAATGGAGGCAGGGAAACAAAGTGGTTTATATATTTAAGGTTATATTAATTGCATGAGTCAATGACTGAACTGTGATTAGAACCCAAGTATACTGAATCCTCATTTGCTGATCTTTCTGCTTTAGACCTGACTCCATCAGGCGGGCTCTCTAGTGGATTAAATATGCTTCTGAGGCACCTATAGGAATGGTTGCACTTGATATAGATAAAAACTATTGCTATTTTATCCTAGTGCCCACAAATTCCTAAAAAAACAATATTGAGAAGGAAAACAAGCAAATGTTCAAACCTCGGTAAAAGAGCAAGGACCGGTGCAATGAAACACAGTAAATAAAACCTAGGATCTGACATCTGATTCTCCATAATCCAGTAGGGGTTGGTGGGAGGGTTACAAACAACACAGACAGCATTGTAGACAGTTGAGATGAAGAGGTAAAGTACAACACTTCCAATCATTGTGATCCAATGAAACAGTGTCTGCGAACAGAAATGGAAGCAACAGTGATAATATTAACAATTGACGCTAAATCTTAGGAGAGACAGATGTGCAGTGTGACTGAAAGGAGGAACATCCTGAAGTCTCATGTAACTGAAAAGTGAAGCAGAAGAAATACACCCCCTTCCTTCATAAAAGTAATTCACAGGATGATAACTTCCAAATAATACGATCTTCCTAAAGCATATGGTGCAATGCTCCCATTCTCATGTTTAACTACACAACAATTCTTTATTGTCCTGTCCCAAAGGCACTGTATAATCAAAGTCTGTTGGTATTCCAGGGAGGCAATTATCTCTAGACAAATCATCATTTTTGACTTATTGCAATAGCTCACTTGCATATAAAGAAAGCTTGAGGTTAAATTGTCATATATTCACATACATACCCAAGTTTTAATTTCTAGAGCTTGGTGTAGGAGAATAGTCAGGAGAGAGATGGTATTGATGGGAGTTCCAAATGTGAAAACATCAATGTCAGAACCCTCATATGTCTAGAAAATGGAGAGATTCAGATGAACCTTGACAACTCATAATACATAGGTGAACAAATTGGGATTGTTAATTCATTTTTGTTAAGAGACAATTTGAATGCTTTGTGTACTTACAAAATAAGGGACAAAGAAACAGACAAGACTCTGGTAGAAGGCATCCAGCATGGCAATGATAAACGTTGACAACTTGTAGATCTGTAGGAAGTTACGGACAACCATCTTTGTCATAGGACAAACATTGTTTTCTTTCAAGCATTAACTCATCATCTTTAAGAGCCTGAACTCCTATAAAGGTTATCAGGGTGGGCCAAGTAATATTCTTTAAATCACGTTTCCATGGACCACTGAATTTTGGTAAATGTGATATGTCTACATCTTTGTCAAGGCTCTCTCTCTCACTCTCTCTCAACTTGTAATGCCATTGCTCAAGGGGAGACAGGCTCACAGTGATGGTGGCAGATTTAGCAGGCTCTTTCACTTTGCCAATGAAGCAGTCAGTATGCCAGAGCAGCAACAACTTAATGTTTTGAAAAAATGGAGAATACTCCCCACATGTGGCATGGAAGAGGATGGGAATGTCTTTATAGACTCTGTTGGCAAAATGATTTCCCTTCCACACTTTTCACTCAAAGGGCTGGATTCTCATAATATCAGGTGAAGACAATCTGAATGAGTGCTCAGTAGTGCTGAAAATTATAGCCCAGGTGCATTAGGACTATATTTCCACAGTTTTGCAATCTAGAATAGAAAGGTCAAAACAGGCCCTTTGGGGAAAAATATGGTTAACTGCTAGTAATTAGTAGCTGAGTCAAATTTAGGCTCAACATTTTAAAATGACAGGAAAAATAGGAAAAATGCATATGCATGTACATATATGAAAGGTGCATATAAATTAATAAATAAAAAGATCAGCCTGACACACTGAACTTGACAGGGACTTTGTGGAAAAGGTTTTAATAATTGCTTTCATATGCCATGCTTTTTATCAAGCTCTAAGTATTCAAAGTGAAAAATAAAACAGTCCAGACCTGAAGTAGCTTGGACACCAAACTGTAATAGTGACAAAAAGAGAAGTATTTTGTGCATTAAAAGGTCTTTTTCAAAACATAAGTCCAGAAAAGTACACAAAGAGCCTGCCAGCCTTCTGTTGACATAAAGCCTCTGGTTTACTTGTCACTTTCTACTGCAATCTTCACTTTAAAAGCCTTTCCTTCAGGACTCATCTCTATGTTAAAATCCTCCAACCTCACCAGAATTTAACCATGGGACAGCCATGCTGTTTTTGCTTTTATTTTTTACGCTGCAACTCTGCTTTTATTTGTTGCTACCTTCCTTCCCCTATTCATGAAAAACAAATCCTTTATTTAAATGCTCAAACACTTCATCTTTCCTTAGGTCAGAGACATAAAACCTTCCTAATATTAAAGCATATGCTTTTTGGGGTTTCAATGTATGGGGCCTCATTCATCAGTGTATCACACCACTAATGTCAATGAAGTTATGCTTCCCCTTCCCATTTACATCAACCAATCAACATTTCTACTAAGATTCTAGCCACTAGTTTCTAGCAATTACACAATCTTTAGATGGGTATTATCAAACCAAGCAAAGTAGTTTCAAGTTGGGGGAGCATCTAGGTTTCTACTGACTCATCCAACATAATAGCAGAATTGCACCAGGTTAACAACCAGTATGACATACCTCTGAATTTTGCCCTTTTTTGTATAGTTCAGGCAAACTTAGAAGTGTTTCTGCAGAAACATCTCTATCCAACACCCCAAAAATGATGGGAGGTAAGGAAGTGAAAAAGAGGTTGAAAAAGATCATTTGCCAGTAATCAATCATGGTGGCTCCTGAGAATCCACAGAAGAACTGATACCAGAATAGTAGATTGACATAGTTCTGGAGGAGAGAGACAATCTGTTAGTGGTACATATTTTCAGCATCCTGAATGTTCAGAAATGTATAGGAACATGATTAAATTTTGGACTCCTAGAATCATGAAGTCACACACCTTCCAGGTTTGCTTCTTTGGATCATCCCTAATTATGCTGGTATATGTTTCTCTCTTTGGGGTTCCTGTCAATAGGTTCTGTGGGGTTTCTCTGTTTGGGGTCCCTGTCAATAGGTCCTGTGGGGTATAAGGTATGTCTGAGCCAGTCTTCCCTAAGACACATCATTTTCTCCATAGTTATCTTAAACAAGTAGCCTGGCCTTTCTATATTTAACCAATGTAGAAAACCATTATGGGATATTTTAGTTTTAAATGGATACATCAGAGTGTATTCATATTGTTAGGTTTCCTTTAAAAGAGTAATTAAATAAATTATTCACGGTTCTGAGCACCAGGTTATAAATCCTGTAATAAAATTGGGTTTGATTGTGGAATCAAAGGTCTTTTTCTTCCTAATAGAACTGGGGAGATAATAGTACAGCAGCATCCCAGTTTAGAAAGCTGTTTCATGATGCAAATAACTATCATTTAGGATCTGAAAACATGCTCATTCAGGAAAAAAAGTTTTGCTTCCTATTACAAATTTTAATACTGATAAAGCCATGATTCTTATTTAAAATTGTGACTTAAAAAAATTAAATTGAAATGCTTTGAATTCTCAGTAAATAGTCTTTAATGCTCAGAGCATATTTCAAGTCAAATGGATTTGTTTGCACTGCTTTGCAGAAATTGTATTACTATCAAGTTTAGCCACTTTACATTATTCTTCAATGCATAGCTCATTTGCATATACATTAAACTTTTAATAAAAAAGCTAGATATGACTGCACCAGTGCTTGCAAGTGGTTCCTATAAAATTAAACACAAAATTTCACAGGTTTCACAGGCGACTGTTGTCTAATGGAGAGTCATCTCCCATTTTCTCAGAGTAATAATCTTCCGTTCTTTATGTAAATGGGTAGTACATTTTACTTTGAGACTCATGGGTATTAGTGAAAAGTTTCTTCAGCTAGTAAATAAATGTTACTAAACTTTGAGATTTTTCCTCCTTTGGGATAATATTGTATCAAACTTCTGCAGTGAAAGATTTAGATACTGCTTTTCCCAATACTTCAGAGGTTCAGTAGTAGGCGTGCATATGGAAGCAAACAAACTGGTTAAGTGCAGAAAAAAGGAATATTAGTTTGATGGAAGTTAAAGGAACATGCAGAAGTACTTTAAGATAGCTTAACTGAAGTAAATTAAGGCATCCAGGATCCTTTTTGACTTACCACATTTTTGTAGAAGTAGTAAATCACCATCTTTGCCAAGCGAGAATAGCACCAGTGTCCATGGACGAGAAGCAGCTTCTTGAGGTGCTTAAATCGAGATATTGCAAAATCACTGGCCATCACAGCCTCAAAAAAAACAGTATCAGAATTGTTCATTAAAAATCTGTTTCTTTATCCAATATGTCAAAGTGAAGCAGCAACCTACTACTGCATACATTTTGCATGGAAGTTATATAGCAGATTTCAGAAAAGAGACTAATTTAATGGATTACCTGCATGCCTTCTTGACCAGATATACCAATTCCAATATCAGCCACTTGAATCATGCTCACATCATTTGCACCATCACCTGGAATAGATAAAAGAACTGACTTTAAGACATATGAACATTTAGGAAAGAATTATAATGCTAGTTGGTCCAGCTTCTATGCTTATCTCCAGACAAGGTCTAAAAAGAAATTACTGATAAATCAAGGGAGTCTTAATAGTAATGTGCATCTATAGTAAGGGGGCTGATGCCCTGCCTTACGGTTAGTAGTATGTGTGTGTCATTTGGTCAAGAAACATAAGTTCTATTCTCAGTTTGGAAATCTACTTCCTCTGAGATTCTGAATACTCTAAGTCTTGGGGTGAAATTCTAACCTAACTAAAGCCAATAGCCAAATTACCACTGAATTCAGTGGAGCAAAATTTTAATCTCTGTACTTTATACCCTGAACATGTAAGGTGGTGAGTCACTTTGGTGTCATCAGTCCGAAAATTTCCCTAACAATAAAGGGCAGATAAAGTTATTACCTTTATATGGGTGATGAGACTCAGTTAAACTAAGTGAGTGTATATATTATATAGTGGACTTAGTGACAGAGTAGGAGATACTTATGGTTATGTATTTGAACTACAATATTTTCTCAAATTCCTAAAGCACATACATTTGTTATGGACTTTATACAATATAAATTTGCTTTTCCAGGTTCAACTTATTGACTATGACCTTCCCCAAAAACACCAACTAAAGCCACAAGTGAGAACAAAATTGTCCATCCCTCCCCTTCCCCATCAAATTACAAAAGGCCTAAAATGCTCAATTTTAGGCAGACACCAAGCAGGGAGAATTCAGCCTGAGGGAATATTTTTAAAAATGATGAATGTGAGAAATAGGGTTTATAACAAAAAATGTCTTACAACTAAATATTGTGATGACTTGCTAACAAATCTTATCTTGCTCCATCTAGCAAGCACTCTGTGTTGCTTGGAATTCAGTAAGGAAGCACATTAATACAGTCATAACTATATTTTTTCCTTTGGTGAAAACCAAATAATAATGTGAAATGCTTTTTTAGTGATCCTTTCTGTAAATTTCTTTGACTCAGTTACAAAGACACACAGAAATACTGCAAATTATACAGTGTAAAAAAACTTATTTTAAGACAACAATTCAGTCGATTGTAATTTTGGAAGAACATTCATGATCAGCGACTAGAGAACAAATAGTTAGGTTTGCATGTAATCACATAGACTATGAGTGAGGATTGATTAGAAAAAGAGCATAAATAAAATGAAGTTTATATTTTGAACTCTGAAAAAAATCTAGAAATTCAGATATTTATCAATCCTTTCCTCTCATATTATGTTTTATTTGATTTATTGAGCATTTTGTGTTAAAGGGTTTAAGTCAGCTTTGCAAGAATTTTTAATAGACTTACTTACAAGTACTCACACATGATGCTTCAAGGATTTTCCATTAACTACTTTACATACAAATGAAAAAAATAAAATGAAATCAGTATCTAATACTGATCTGGGTATACAACTTTGCTGACCAACTCAGAAAAAAGGCAGTAAAAGGGAATAATTAAAATATAGAGCAGGAGCTCTTATTGATTGTCTCCCCTCCTTCCTCAAAGCTAGAATAGTTGGAAGCAGCTTCTGTGGGAGGGGAGGAGAATGAGTGGTAGACCATGGAAAGTGAGTACCTTTTAATGGGAGGTGAAGCTTCTCAACAGCAGCAGAATGAGATTCTTTCTGAGGAAATTTAACTTACAATACATAGCTGTTTGCTGAGGTTAAACAATCTGACAATCTTTTTACTACGTCTGTGTTAAAGGAACCTCAGGGTGAAGATTATACACCAATATTCAGTATATGCTCATAACCCTCAATGAAGTAAACAATCATGTGATCAAATTGGCATTAACGGGCAAGAGACAAAGAAAACTTAGTACCTATTGACAGTGTCATGACATTTAGTTGCCTCCGAACTAGTTTGACCACCTTGCTCTTTTGGAGAGGAGTGGCCCGGCAACACAAAACTGAGCGGCAGTACTTTGTCAACTCCAGAAACTTCCTTTCTAGCTCCCCTTGGAAGACAATGTTCAATGTTTTCCCATCAATAACCAGCCCAAATTCAGGAACAGGGCCTGTGGAAGCTGGTAGAGAAGATGGCAGACCAATGCCAAAGAATGTCCATTTGCTTTTTTTAATGCCACAGTTCTTCCTCACTTCTTCCAAGGTCAAATCCAAGAGGGATTCACAGGTTTCCTGTGAGAAAATGAGTATGTTATGGAAAACGTATCTATTTATCATGTTACAGTATAACCAGTAGACATATCTTTGAAAACATCACAGGAGCTTTATGACCATTTGGTTGCAGAAAGCACTAGTTTACTAGTTTACTGGAGATTAGTTCAATGTTATTACCAGCTCCTCCATCCACATGTTAAAAACACTGAGCATCTTAGCAGCTATTGGTCTACAATATGACTATTAATTTAAAAAGAAAATAAAGTACAAATTAGAAGACTGAGTCTACATTTGCCTCTGTAGTGCTCAGAATTTGGAGAAAAAAATACATATTATTTATTGTTGTACGAACGTAAGGAGTATGAGGCATTGCTAACAATAATGAATATAGCCTTACCACTCATATGAGGGATGGTAAAAGCTCATTCTTATTTCTGCAAAAAGGAGGGAGTCTGCCATAGAGAAATTAAGAAATCCAGATTAGTAAGAGTAGTCAGGGATTTTTTGCCACTGTTGACAAAGGATGCTGGGCAAGATGGACCTGACACAGTAAATGACAGTTCTTATGATTTAGAAAAACTGGCCTTAACTGGTTCAAATCATTCAGCTGGCCTGCTAAACAATGTCAGAAGTTCTAACAGTGCTCATTCCTGTGTTTTAATCCCAAAATACCTTTCCTTCTTTTTTGCATTTGTCCCATTTTGAACCAAATACATCTTTTAAACGATACAATCCTTAGCAACTTAAACAGTATAAACATATTGAAGGAGGCACTTAAACAATTTGGAAGGTTTTTTTGGTAGGACATGACAAGAACACAGGACAAGACACTGTGCAATCCTATATTTACCCAGGTCTCTATTGGTGCAAACGTCATTTTCTGTGGTGTAGTACTGACAGCCCAAAGAGCTTATCACTCTCTTTTTTACCTTCTCTGTCAGCCTTACTGAGTGGTGATTCAGTTCTTAAATGTTATTTTCATTTTATGTTGCATAAAGTACAGGTGTAGGATGCTGCAAGTTTTAAATTACACTTAAGTGGGAGGTTCTGAAATCAAATGTACCTCTGACATCTAATAGAAAGCCACATCAAGCTTGCTTTCTAAAACAATGTAAAAAGTCTCCTGAGGAGAGGCACCTTTTCTCTCTGTGTAAACCAGGAATTATATTGAAAATATAAGTTATCTTTTGAATTAACTCTAAGGAGACTGGCTAGTGGTCTGCCACCTGGGAGTCATATAATTTCTAGTGTTTGGTGAGTGTAACAGGGGACCTAAACCCTGTTACTCAGACTCAAGGAAGTGGGGAGAGAAGACTCTATCAGTGCATCTGGAGCAGATGCCAAAGCAGCCCACAGGAAGGGGGGATCTCTGGCAAATGGCATTCAGGAGAGCACTGTGAGGAATGAGAATGAGAGTTGAAGCAGCTGGTCCAGACAGAAGGAACAAGCTCCAGGGAGCTGAGGCCCCTGGCATTTTAAGAGGGTGGAGTGGCCGGATACCAGCTGACCCTTGATTAAGGGGTTAGAGACTCCAGTGCATGACCAGGAGGGGAAGCCAGATTACTGAAAGGGGGTGGGACTCCAGGGCAGATAAGCACCGTCCCTGAGCCTGGGTGGGCAGTCAGGCCCTGCAAGCTGCAGGGAAAGGAGCTCCCACAGGAAATACTGACTGTGGGGAGGCAACACCCAGGGAAATGGGGCTATCCATAAGGGTGAAACAGGTTTATCCCTGGGAGTTATCATTTGTGGGAGGTGAGCTTTGCAAGTGCAGGATACCTGTGTTTTAGGTTTGTTGTATAACCAGAGGACTGGATATGGCTATAAGGGATGGACTGGAGGCCACAGAAGTGCTAAGGGGCACCCAGCATGCAGACCTGTCATGGTCAGGGTCCCAGTGGGCTATGTAGGGCTGAAACCTAAAAGCTGTAGAGGAGGCAGAGAGAAATGATTTGCCCCTGGGCAGGGACACGACGGGGACTGAAACAGGGCAAGCCAGGGCCAAGGGCCTGGATGCTAACGAAGTGAAGGCTGGAAAAGCCAGGCCAGAGGCAGTGTGCCTGGGCCATCAGTCAACAGCCAGAGTAGCCTGTAGGCTAAAGCTAGTAAAGCTGATGATTAACAAGGGATCAAATGGCAATAGAGTAACAACTGCGAGGCCTGGGCATGCCTGCAGGGGTGGAAGGAGACTGCAAATTTAGCCCTTAAGGCACATAGAGGAAGAGGGATGGGGTGGGGGGAGCGGAGAATGAATATTGGGGAAGAGAAAGAGAGAGGGGGAGCAAGAGCAACTTGGCTCACTGGCCTTGGAGGGCAGCCCCCCCTCATTACTTTCAACACTAAGGCATGGCAGAAGAGGAAGCGGGGCAAGACCCTGGGGAACAGGAGCGAGGGCCTGACAGGATTGGGGCGCCTACTAGGGGGCACCACAGCAGCCCTTGGGTGCCACGCCTGTCACAGTGAGTCTATGTGATTAAAAGAAAGATCTGTGTCTAGTGAGAAACTCAATTTTCTTAAAGTCAACCCAGCAAATTTAATTTCCCCACTATCGCTGCCAGAAACTCATAGCTTTCACTGACAGTTACCTGTCTCTAGTGACAACTGACACTGTTATCAAACTTCACTTTTCCTCTACAAAGGAGGAAGTTGGATAATGATAAGGAGCCAAGAATGGTTTGACACTGAAAATCAAACTAGGTAGCAAGTTGAGGAGCCAAAAAGAGTAATGTGCTCAGTTTGTTTGAACAAGAGGTGGTGACAGTAGACTATACAGAGGTCCAGGAAGTTTCTTAACTGTGCTGGAATGAAGCCTGGGTTATATGACTTTGGGTAGAAAAAAGGGCACCTCAAGGTTCCTAACTGGGTATATTTATCTTTAGTGTCCAAGTACATCGTATTGAGGATGAATGCACTTGTCCTTAAGGAGCTATGGTCAAAAAGGTTAATGCTGCATGACCAGAAGGCTAAAAAAAGACTTAATGAGAGTAAAATTTCCAATATAATGACCAGAACTTTACTCTAGTAGTGAACTGGCTACTGTGTGCATACTGTGGCCCCAGTTGGACTGGATAAAAAAGCCTGGCTGTGTGTTATGATTCCCACATTGGTAAAAGTTAATGGAGATTTCCCTTTAACTTAACTGGGAGGGGCTTGTGCCTTTGGGGCAGGAAGAATCTGACATACGCACCCACTGTTGCCATGTAATGTCAACTAGTTATGATGACTCCTATGAAGCCTTTAAGTGATTATGGACTTGACAATTTTACTAGTTAAATGCTTTTTTACAGTAATGTTCATTTTTACATTACTGAGTTAAAACTGAGGAAGGATAGAAATCATGTCACACTCGATGATAAACTCCTGTTATCACTCATGTCACTAACGGTGTCATTTTTCTGTCTTATATCTCTGACAGAAGTATCATAAACGCCCATTAGAAACCAGAAACTTGAACTTCAAATGCAAAGGCAAGTGTCTGTGCAATGTGTGTATCTCTCACCAGCTCAATTTCACAAGACGTTACGCTTAGTAAAATACATAGGAATTTAGGAGGGGAAGAGACCTCTTGAGTCAGTGAGACAAATCCCTCACTATGGCAGACAACTACATCACAAAATTCTTTCATAAACTGATCAGGCTCAATCTTAAAAGCAGTAACTACCTATTGAAAAACTGTTCCAGATGGCTAGAAACCTCCTTCTAATTCCCAGCCTAAATTTATTCATTCCACTTTCCTTTAAGCAGACACGCATATCAAATGAAATTTACACATTGAAGCAGAGAACATATTCTGTGCCAAATTCTGTATCGTCTTTGCATGCATTCCTATTTCCATTGACATTAAAAGAAAGAGACATTTTATAGAATCCTATTCCTGTTTGGGGAGCTGCAAAGCACAGACAAAAGAAGCCAGGAAGTAGGCCATCTAACTAGACTACAAAATTATACATCATAATAAACATTTCATGTTCAAAGTACTTGAGTTATTTAATTAACCCTTTCCATATCTCTATGGAGGTAAATAAAAGGTGCAGCTTCTACTGAGAGAGACATTGAGGCAGATAGGATTAATGGGCTTTTTTACATGTGCAAGTGCTGCAGTGCTGGGTGCTTTGAAAAGTGCCTGGCACTGTGACACATGCAGTTGTATAAGTGGCAAAATGTGTGTCAGTGCGAAGAAAATGGTGCAGTGTGCTTTTGAACTAAAACACCTTGGAGGTACTTTAGTTCAAAAGCGCACTGCCACAATTTTCTGCATGCTGATGCTTATAAAACTGCATGTGGTGCACATCAGCTCACATGCAGAGCAGGCTTGGTTAATTGAGTCTGCTCCAAAGTGGCGGATGTCTGGTGTATCATGGGACAGAAAGGTATGTGTATAAATGCCCAATGATTAGCCTGGACACAAAAAAACTAAATGAAGGAACTGGGAATCTTTGATTCCATCCAAGACCAACCTAAGACCAACAACACAGATCTCTATCCTCTGGCTTCAAAATAAGAATGATTGGGGGTCTAGGAAACAGGACTTATAAAAGAGAAAGGTAGAAGAACTGGGATTATTTAGTCTGGAGAAGGAAAAACTGTGGGGGACTTGATGACAGTCTTCAAATACCTGAAGAGTGCTTATAAAAAGGATGGTAGTAGAGTAACAGCCAAGTTAGCATGCTCCAACATTTATTATCACTAGTGTAGAATGTGCCTGAAGTGGCAGTCGCTATGTATTAAAGAATGTATATATATTTAGTGGGAACATGATGCTGAAGCATTTAGATTCACATTGGAACCAATAATCTTAGTCTGGGTAGCTAGTCATGGACTGAAACTCTCTTGCATAGTTCACCAGTAAGCTGAGGTCAATATTAAATCCATTTATGGCCATTTGTCCTTCAAATAAGGTTCCAATGTTGGTACCCAAGGTTGCAGCATCCCTTAGCATGGGCTGGGAAGTTCCAGGCCGGGTGAACTCTTAACCTTTCCTAGGAGTTGATCCAGTTTTAGGAGGAGAACATATGTAACTGAGCCTCAGTAGGGTAGGAAAGTCCTCATGAGGTGAAATGAGTGGATATTTTTGGATGGCAACAGGTGTTGTGTGCACTGGCCGAGAAGGCCATGTGAAGCGTAGAGTGATATGTGCATTGATGGGTGATTGGTTACTGGAATGATTGATAGGTGACTTATGAGAGAACCTATAAAAGAGAGAGAGAGGTTTTTGAGTGGAGTTGGCTGGTTGGTTGGTTGGCTGGTTAGTTGTTGTTGGTGTGTAGAGAGTGGATCATGTAATCATAGTTGTATAGCTCCACCACTGAATGGTTGAAAGTGAGCAGTGTCTCCACCACTCAGGAGTTGGCTGTGTGGTGCATCTCTCCATAAACATAGTAGTTCCATAGTTTCATAGTAGCTAGGGTCAGGAGGGACCTAAACAGATCAGGTAGCCTGACCCCCTGCCACAGGCAGGGATCAACTTCAGGCAGGAATGAATTCTGGGTTCACAAGACCCCAGACAGGAGATCGTCCAACCTCCTCTTGCATTTGCCCAAGGTAGGGGCGAGGACCACTTCCCTGTGAAGTTGGTTCCAGATTTTGGCCACCCTAACTGTAAAATATTGCCTTCTGACCTCCAACCTAAACCTGTTCTCCATCAGCTTATGACCCTTGTTCCTTGTCACCCCAGGTGGTGCTGGGGAGAAAAGAGCTCTGCCTATTTGCTGTTGATCCCCCTTGATGAGCTTGTAGGCAGACAGGTTCAGCTCCTTCAGTCTCTCCTCGTAGGGCCTGTCCTGCTGCCCTCTCACCAAGCAGGTGACCCTCCTCTGACCCCTCTCCAGGCTGGCCACATCCCTTTTGAAGTGCGGCGCCCAGTACTGGACACAGTACTCCAACTGCAGCCTGACCAAAGTCGCATAGAGGGGGAGTATCACCTCTCTGGACCGGCTTGAGATGCACCTTTGGATGCATGACAAGGTATGGCTGGCCTTGCTGGCTGTGGTCTGGCATTGGCGGCTCATGTTCATCTTGGATTCACTAATGACTCCGAGATCCCTTTCCACCTCTGTGCTTTAACAGTGTGTGCGTGTGCGGGTGACCCCTGACCAAGGAGGGTTAGAGCGTGGCTGACTGAGGAGGATCAGTGTGGCCGTGATCATATAGTGGTTAGTACTCTGCATTGTGGACGAGGGCTGGGGTTGCAGCCAAAGGCCAACACCAGGCCAGACTGGAGGGTCAGCTGAATCCCTAATTTCTCTGTCTTTGTTTGTGAGGGGAAGAGTGAGTGCAGAGTGGGTGAGGGTTGGAGGTGGCAACCAATATTTCCTTCTGTATTCCTCACTGTTCCCTTGTGCGAGTGAGCGGTGCAGCTGACAGGCTGCATGAGCGTTGGCAGTGTGAGAGTCAGAAGTTGCCCTCTGGTGCCCTCACTGGGGTAGAGTGGTTTTGTATTGCGGTTCATTAGTGTTCATTAATGTATATTGTTTGAGATTGCTATTGTTATTGTGTGTTGTTTATATTCAAATATAGATACTTGTTACCCCTCCTCCCTGTGTGTAGTCTAATTTATTAATTATCTGAGTGGCAGGGTAGCACTGGGCTGTAGGCAAACACTTTGCTGAGCTTAGACCGCCCACTGTAAATCCTTTGATTGGTGCAAGGGTTGGTGTAAGTGCTTAATTGGTTAATTGCCAAATTCCTCATTTAACATCTAGTCCCTTTGGTCTAGAGTTTGGTGTTCCAGTACATGGGAAATGGGTAAATCTTTCCACGGGGCTTCAGTGTTAACTCACCTTTTGTGCCATTTCCTGTTGGATTGCTAGGAACATCTAAACTCTTATCGCATGCTTCATTTACTTCTCATGGAGTAAATGTCCAGGTCTGGACAAGGTCTCTGAAATAAGCTGGCCATGGTTTGACAAGTAAGTGGACAGTTAGTAGCCTCATCAAGTGAATGGTAGCTGCCTTCCTGCTTTCAGTGCAGCTAGAGAAGGACAGTGTTTCACAGTGTCTTATTTTGTTGTCTCAAGTTATGAAAAAGCAGTGGTTGAAATGTTTATACTCGCATCTGTCCTTTTTGGCACTTACCCTTTTGCAAGGGTTTGCCCTCCATTTTCCCTGCTCTGCTCTAGTGGTTTCATAAATAGCTATAGATTGCTCCATGGAAAGCTCACTGTGCTTTGCTGAGTACCAGGGACTGACAATGATGACCCTGAAACGCTAACCCGCAGTTTGCCAGAGTATGCCTGTTCTAGTCTCTGTAAAACCTCTTATTGTCAGTGAATACACAGGTAATATTGTGCATATCGACACTATGTAAAAAACAATCTCATCTTTATAGGTCTGTGAGAACTATCTTGAGAAGGGTAAATGTTGCTGACACAGAAGGAGGCTGGGATAAACATTCTCTAGTAAATATCTTATTAAGACTAACTCTATTAGGAAACATGCAGCTATAAAGTATTGTATTGAAAAGAATCAACACTACTATGGGATCAGGCACCTAACTGCAAATTATTTTCCTTCTCAAGCACAGGATTCAAGTAAATATTTAAAGATCATTTTCATTTTGGAAAAATTCATTGTATTTTAATCCTCAGCAGTCTTTCCTGCCCAGAGCATGGGGGCTGGACCTGATGATCTCATTAGGTCCCTTCCAGCCCTAAGTTTCTGTGAATCTGTGAATTATAAATCATCATCTATAAAACCTGTTTGGATTCAGAATCAGTGTTATGTACAGTCTAAGGAGTCTATGACCACTTCTTGATAGTACTTTGAGATTTTTGTTTTGCTTTTTATAGAACATGAAAACAAACATTTACAAACCTCACATCATTAAAGTAATGAACAAACTGCTCATCAAGCCCCTCCCTTTGTTTTGGATGTACCTTATTTTCGGTATTAATAGTAAAGACAGTGTCTCTTTGGTCCAGAAGTTTACAAGAATATGCAATGTTAACGGCTGTTTCCTGCTTGTCTCCTGTCAGCACCCAGATTTGTATTCCAGCCTCTCGGAGAGCAGCGATGGTATCAGGTACTCCATCTTGTAGCCGATCTTCAATCCCTGTTGCTCCTAGAGAAAGAGGAGGATTACGTGAACTGATTTTAGTTCCCTTTGAAAAATGTGGTGAGATTATGTTAAAAAAATATTCAAAACTTTTATCGTAAAGCAAGATCCACCATTTATTTATGGCTAAGCCAATGCTACTAGCCAGTGGTTGAAGAAGACTTCACAAGGCATAAACGTTAATCTTACACTGATCTGACACTGGGGTAAAACTTTTTGCTGATTTCCTGTATTTACCTCATGTCTCACACCTGTCCTGTAGAAAACATATGGATGAATATTAAATATTTTTAAAGTGATTAACTACATTAAAAAAATTGCATTCAGGTTAAGATTAAAAAAACCCCAGCCACCAATGACTAATGATTATTCATTTTGTGTGATGCTCAAATGTTTCATTAAAAAAAATAAAATCTGTAATGACAATATATTGAATAATTTCATTATATGCATTTTTGTAGGTACTGTACTCTGGTTTTCATCTACATGTACGATTAAGGCGATGGCATAAACTCTGGTACAGTTTGCATTGGAGTCAGCTGCTCCCAGGCGCAGCATCTACACATGCACCTGGGACTGCATTAGTTTGAGCTGGGGCAGAGCAGCTCCAGGCTGGCAAGGGATATGGGCGGTCAGGCCTGGCTTTGGGTGGCAGTGTTGGGTGGTGGAGGGGGTGTATGGGGCATGAGGGTGCTAAATTGTGGGGCTAGGGTGCAGGCAGCCCTAGCACCTTAGCATCCTTGTACCCCAGCCTGCCCCTGCCATGATCTACACGTGCATTTTGACAGAATTAAGTACAGTATCATCTTAAGGCAGAATTAATTAACAGACTGCACACTAGTACGTGTAGATGGTGATGCTTTATTGCAGAGTTAATTAGTCAACTCAGTAGTAAAGCACATATGTAGATGCACCCCCAGGAACTAGAAAAAATATGATTCTGCAGTCAATCTTGAGTACTTCATTGCAAGACATTCTATTGGCAAGTTAGATGCTTTTTCTGTCAAAGGAGGAGAAAGGTACATTAAGTTTCCTCTTTCAAAATAAGCAATCTTTGAAGCAGAAGCCAAGCTCATGCTGAAGATAAATCATCATATGAAAGATATACAACTTTCCTCCTCTTATCTCTTCCAGAAGGTCAACTTGAAGATGATCTAATGGTGATATTGTACATTACAGACAGGTATTTGAAGATAAGAAGGATACTTATGAAGAAAATTAAATATAAAACATGGAACATTTTTATAGTTGGCAAAAGTGACAGATTTTTAGATGACTGGAACTAACTTTCCTATGACTTTGACAACAGTATTTGTGGTTACTACCATGATTTTTAAAATACTTGAAGAGATTATGTATCTGAAGTCAGAAAAAGTCTGAAATTATATACGTCTTAGATGACAAAGAAAGTTATATTTGTAGAGAAAGAATAAACTTGGACAACTTTGAAGAACCTTGCTTACACAAGATAGAGGACCCTGAAACATTTTAATGGAATAATTGTATTATAGTGATGGGTGATGTGGAAGCACCTTGATAGATACCTTTTTGCATGATAAAAATAGCTTTTTCAAAGGGAAGAAAGCATGGAAGAACACAGCTATATCATAAATCCATTAGCAGGCAGGTATACATTGGATAGATGTGTAGCAAATTTGAAATATGGTTTAAGTGTGTAAAATATTTGTCCTTGGAAATTGGGTCCTGATTTAAAGTTGGTATATAATTATTTGCATTTGGGCCTAGTATTGGCAAAGCCTCACAAGAAGATCTTTTAATATACATCTGTCTAAGGCATTGTCTCTTTGGTTGTCAAGAACATCACATCAGAGCATAACTATTTTACTCAGTGTGTTAGCTACCTAGCAAGGTGAGTTTGGTCTCCAGATGCTGTGCTGTCTCCATTAGTAGCTCATCTCTGTTGTCAATTGCTGCCTCGGCCTCCTGACGAAAATTGGCCCATTTCTCAAAGTCCTCTTCACTCAAAACCTGCACGACAGTAATAAAGGTATGCTGTATATTCAAACTGAAGATGAGCAGTAGTTCGCAAGTTTTGTATGCAGCCAACATACCCGTTCTTAAATGTTCACAGAATAAAAGAGAACCACAAATCAAACTGTGTAAACACCTCTGGAATGAAGGTGGTCTTTGTTTACTTGAGAAAGGATAGCTCTTGCTGGGCCAAGTTTCTCATGCAGCAGTATGCATATTGGAAAGTTTCCATAGTATGCATAATGGAAAGTTTGCCTAGGAAGAGATCATGGAGGTGAAGTATTTAGAGGACATTTTCAGAAGATGTCCTGCTTAGCTACTGAAGATGCTCACATTTTAAAATGAGTTTCCTTCCCCCTTCCACATTTGAGCATCACTGTGAGCAGACAGATGTAACAATTGCAACAATATCAGTGAATGCCAATATAAGCTTTTATGATGCAACTGTTAGGTTTGCATGATTTTTGTGGTGACACTAGTGTAGCAAAACCATTCCAACTTGAACTCTGATTCATTCAGGGTCAAAGTAAGCTAACTTGTATCATGCTATGAGTTTCACACAGATATAACTATTGGGGATTAACAGCTGATGTACACTCCTGTAACAGCAGCTCACAGACACCCTTTCTTAAGTGGGTAATACATATGTTGGCTCATACCCTGAGTCTTACCCTGTACGTCATAATCACGCTTCTATTATTTAATAATATGGTTATAAAAATATTTTGATGCAAGAATTTCAGAATTGACTCACCCACTGAATCTAAGCAAAGTACACCTCAGTCTAAAGTGGAAAAACAGGGCACCAATATTTTGAATCGTAGAGTGATTTATAACTACCAGAGTCTGTTTACAAATTATCATGATGTCTTTAAGATATCATATATTCTTACATATAATATAATATAATATAATATAATATAATATAATATAATATATACCCTGTTTTCTGAAAGGCTGAAAGAAGGAAAACATTCTTTGCAGTAAGTACCTGAGTAGCAGGGAGCTGAGCCTGCTAATTATTTAGCTCCCATTGGATAGGTACAGATTTTATTTTGGTTTAATCTAAAGCAACAGAAACTGCTCTTACAGTATTTCTTGCATATAATGTGCATTCCAATTTACAGAAGCTGCTTTCTGGGAAAAGGTGCATATTGCATGTGAAAAAAATACGGTAGTTCAAGCATTGTCCAGCTGAAGGCTGCCAGGGGAAGAAGCAATGAAGAAAATGGTCCTGCCTTTTCAATAGACACTGATTGATTGGAACTAGCAGCAGGCAGCTGCAGGGGTAGGGGGCAATCTGATCTTAGCGTCCAGGCCTGGGAGCTGCCTGCTGCAGGGCCAGTGGACATTGTCTGCCCCCCCTCAGAGGGGGCAGTGGACATTGTCAGAGCCCAGGCCTGACACTGGTGCCCCCTGACAGCCCAGGGCTGGCACCCGGGGAAGCCTAGAACTTCTCTTGGCTGCCATATAGTAGCAGAGCAGAGCAGGAGTATCCCTGCCTTGAATTGCTCCTGTTAGGAGCAAATTTGCTCCCAATAGGTGCACGTGTAAATGTGCACTCAGGGAAATCTCACTGCAAAGTGTTTTACTGCACAGTAAGCTTTGTGAGTGTTGATTGCCTGTGTAGACATACCCAGTGAGGATGAGTGTGAAGGAACATATAGTTTCTGAAGGTTGCACTGTAGATCTTTGAGATCTCTTGGATTTGTCCCCTAGGCTGCACCCAGACAATTTCTCCATTAAACCACCAGGCTAAAAATACTACTCCAGGCTGAGTGCAAGAAGTTTGAAAGCTGAATGCTAAATGAAATTTAAGGAACAGACAACGGATTTGTTCAATCTTGTCTGGGATCACTCTAAATAGGAGTAATATTGCCATATTGGAGCTGACTAGTGATCTATCTTGTTTAGCATCCTGCACCTGATGTGGCCAGGTGCTTTAGAAAAAGGTGCAAGAAGCAGTTATTGGTCCGTCAGCCAGAGTGACAGATTCTTTCCTAAATTAGGCATTTAGAGACTGGGTTAGGTGTGACAGAGTTCAAAAGTCACTGATTTTTCAAGTCATAAATCTGTTCATGTGCAGAACATAATTAGCAGATAGCACTGTTTCAATTTCTTCTCACCTTCTTAGCTATGCACAGGGTTCTTAGGCCATCCCTTGCATAGCAGTCCAGGTGCTTCTGTGTTTTGGCATGTATTCTTCTGAGTTTCTTCTCCACATCAATGCCATCTGTCACATACAAGCAGTCAGTCATTTGTTTCAAGCACAGATCATACCAAACCTAACAACCATAAACTAACGATGATGATGAACAGGCCAAATGGAAGCTTGGGTGTTAACATAACAGCAATGGCTTTCACAGATCATAAGCATTCGCTTTGTATTCCATATCTTCTAAAGCATATTCATGTTCCTCAGTTTTCAGACAGCATGCAGGATAGCATTGCTTGGTCTTCTCTATATTACAGTGCCATGGTTGCCAAGTTAAAATACATTGGTCAGGCCCTTATGACACGATTATTGCAGAGTACACAATTCACATATGGGTTAGGACTCTCTGTGAATCTTAATTAGCCCATTCTATATTCCAGGCACTCTTCATGTTAAACAAACACCTTGGCTTTGATGCAGAAATAACACTATGGGGAACTTATTTTTCTTCTATATTTTAAAGCTTGAATAGAACATTTTATTTGGGAGAGGACTGCAGACTTCCAGTACTTATGCATGTACAAGATAACAATAACAATCATAGTTCTCTGGCTGATTACCTCTGGCAGGGTCTTCTAGTAAATCCATTATAACAGAGTCTGCTCCTTTGGTGTAGACAATTATTTCATTGGTAAGGGGGTGCCTCACCACTACAGACATCCTTTTCCTGACAGAGTCAAATCCCAACGTGTAAAGTATGTCAAAAGTCAGGAGGGTACCTTGTGGCAACCTCACAGTTACCTGCTCAGGAGTCCTGGACACTAAAGTGAAACTGTAAGCCCGGGCAGCATGGACAAGGGCTGCCTCGTCTGGGCTCTCAGCTTCATAACAAAATTCTGCTTGCAAAGAGCCCTGAGTAACAGATTCAAAAGCCTCATCCAGAGAGGTATTGTGAGTCCCTGTGCTGTCCTTCCTGTGAACCACAATTCTACCACCACCATTGTTGTCATCATCTTTGTCACAGGAGTTGGGGGCAGCTGGATTCTCTTTATTATCCTCTGTTTCAAAACTGGCTCCTAGGTCTGAACGGGACTGAGTTGATGAGAAAGATTGACTAAGGTTTGCTAATTTTAGCCGTTGAAACAGCTGATGAATCCTCTCCAAGGAGATTCCTGATGGCTTCATCAGAGGTGGGGCTGTCACCTTGAGACATGAAAAGACATTATGTACATTACAGCTGAAATGAAACAAATGTGAACCACTGACATAGTTCCAAACCTCAGGGCACTGATACGCATTTAACAAATAGCATTAAAAATGCTACCACCTTTTTCTAGCTAACTCTGTCAAGGCACTTACAGTAGAAAAGTTACAGTGAAGTTGGTATCTTAACTCAGAAGCACTCTACTGATGGACTTCTAATACCTGATAGGCAAAAGTGGAGTTGCACCTCTTAAAACGTTGCCAATTGCCTGAAGGAATTGAATTAAACCTTGAAGTGTCCAGGACTAAATATTTCATTTAGTAAATAAGGAAAAATATCAAAGGAACACTCCAGGTATGAGACTGCCATGTCTATGTATTTTACTGAAAACTGGCAAGCTCTTAACAGTCACCAAGGAACATAGACAGGTATGTGCGGTTTAATGGTGCTGCATCAGTCACCACTGCGGACAGAAAATAAGAGAAACAAAAGGCAATTACAAAATGGTGCATTTTCTTCACTGCAGATTTAATTACTGAATGCTCTCACTTTTGTTAGATAATTAGGTTAAAGAATCTACTCTCCTCATGTATTTCAAGTTATATTACCCTTTGTCTTGGCTCAGTTGCTGTGGAGACCACAACAGTATTACAGATGGCCAATGCAAGAAAAAAGTCAGTAGTAGCTGTAGTGCTGGAGAAGGTAGCCTTAGATGTAAAAGGCGACAAGGACTCCATCTGGAGGGCAGCATCTCTTACTTTCCTCAAAAGTCTGCTATCAGGGGTCACATCCTTTTCCTGAAAGAGAAGAATGTATTCAATAAGAACCTTACATTTGTGACTGTGCCCAGAACTGCCCCTTCTATTAGTAATTTTAGGATCACAAAGGAAAGACATGTACAGAATAAACATCTAGCCTATCTAATGTAGGGAGAAAAAGAAAAAAAAAGATATAATTTCCGT